TGAAAGTGGCTGGCCTTCCTCTTGGTATTTTCTAGAAATGGAAATTATCTCTTTTTCTTAATCTCAATCTCTCCCTTCCTCTACCCCTCTATGGGACAGGGGCTTATGTAGCCCAAATGACCTCAAATTCACTTTATAACTGAGAATGACCTTGAACTCTGTTCCTCCTGCTTTTTGCCTCGCAAGTGTTGAGATTACTGCCAGCCTTCCAGATTGGAAATAAGACTTTTGTTTTAATTTAAAAAAAATTTTTATTGTTATTTTTATTTTATTTGTGTGCATGTGTTGCCTGCATGTAGGTAAGTGCACCTGTGTCATGCAGTGCCCAAGGAGGTCAGAAGAGGCTGGAACTGGAGTTACAGACAGTTGTTAGCTGCCATGTGGGTGCTGGGATTTGAACCTGGGTCTTCTGCAAGAACAGTCAGTGTTCTTAACTGCTGAGCCATCTTTCCGGCCCCTCTTTTATTATTTAAAAACAAAACAAAACAAAAACAGCTAGGAGTTTTTCACCTGTAACTCCTTCCTCCTTTTTATTCTCTGTTCCCAGTAGCTCATATTTTCAAAATGGATTTTAACTGCTCCAAAGCCTAGCTTTTTCTTTTCTTCTCCTAAACCACATTTATTGAGACTATGATTTAAATATGATAAACAACAGCCATCATCTCAAGCATACAGTTCAATGAAAACCTGGGGTTTTAGGAGGTTTTCTGAGTGTTAGTTGGTGTAGGTGCACCAGTGCCTCTGTTTTATGCTTAGAGGTCTGCTTCTGAGCCTCTTTCCTCAGTCTGCATTAGACCAGGCTGCTGTGAGTTCTGTAGAGTCCCAAACTACGTAGTCAGATAGGGCACCTGTGCCTTACTCTAGAGACCCTCAGCCAGCCTCTTTCCTCTTATTTTTAGAAAACTTTATTATATTTTGTTCTAGTTTGTCTTCAATTGCTGTGACAAAACATTCTGACCAATACCAACTTGGGGAAGAAAAGATTTATTTTATCTTACATCTCTCAGGTCACAGTTCATCAGGGAGCCTAAGGTAGGAGCTCAGGGCAGGAACCTGGAGGCAGGAGCTGAAGCACAGGCCTTGGAGGTACATTGCTTACTGCTTGTCCCTGGCCCATGCTCAGCCTGCTTTCTTGTACAGTACAGAACAACCTGCCCAGGAGTGGCACTGCCCACAATGGGCTGGTAGCTACCAAATCACTCAAAAGTCAAGAAAATACCCCACAGACATGGCCCTAGGCCACACCAATGGAGGCAGTTCCCCAGTTGAGCCTCCCTCTACCCAGGTGTGTCAAGTTGACAACGCAAGTTATCCAGCACACATTTTATTTATCGTGTGTGTGTGTGTGTGTGTGTGTGTGTGTGTGTGTGGTGTACCACAGTGTACACGTGGAGGTCAGAGGACAACCTTCAGGAGTTGGTGTTGTCCTTCCACTATGTGGGTCCCAGTGATAGAACTCAGATGGTCAGGCTTGGTAGCAAGAGTCTTTACCCACTGAACTGTCTGGCCAGTCCTCTTGCCTCTTTTTTTAGTGGGGTCAAATGCCAGAATTTTGGTTATCATTTCATCAGTTCCTTATGCTGTGACCTTGGCAAATGCCTTAACCTCTTTGCCTCAATTCCCTCATCTCATCCCTAAAATGTTGATAAGACTAGTGTCCACCTCTTTGAATTGTGGAAGAATCAAGATACTCAGGACATTACTGGCCTGTGGTAGGAGCTCAATGTCTGCTTTGGCTTGTTTTGGAGGAACAGTGAGGCAGTTTTTGGGAGTGGGGGCATCTCTCTCCCCTTCACTGTGCAAACAGCAGGGGCAGATGTTCTTAGTGATGTTTTGTGAAGCCTTATTATTCTAGGACCCTCTGGTGTCTTGAGTCATCTCACCTGTGTCCCGTAGACCTCAAGGCTGAACTTCTATTCATGTATTCTAACCTAAGGGTGGGTAAACCTAAAATTTACTAAAAAGGAACTAAAGGATATGCCCACATTTAGACAGTCAAAGTTTACCTTACAGCTTAGGCTACATTTTATATTTGTAGGTTTTCTTTTTCTTTTGGTGCAATAGTTAAATATCAGAGTAAAGATGATAGGAGCCAGTAAATAAGTTTCGGACTCTGAACCCTCTAAAAATCATTGGTAAGGTGTTGTGTTTAGAGTTTGTGCAGAGTTGACTATTTGTAGGAGAATTGCTTTCATGACTTTTATTTTCTCAAAGAATGCACAAAAGGCTAAAGACACTCATAGAGGAGAAAACATTTTTCAGGTATCATAGCTCTTCAGCAACTCTTAAAACGTTTGTTATCCAAATATCAGATATTGAAAAAAAAATTGAAAAACTAATGACATGCTCACCCAAATTCTCATTGCCTATTTTTTATTTTTAATTAAAAAATTTTTTAGCCGGGCATGGTGGCGCATGGCTTTAGTCCCAGCACTCGGGAGGCATAGTCAGGCGGATCTCTGTGAGTTCAAGGCCAGCCTGGTCTACATAGTGAGTTCCAGGACAGCTGGGGCTACAGAGAGACCCTGTCTCAGAAAAAAAAAAAAATTATTTTATGTGTATGAGTGTATTGACTGCGTGTATGTGAGTGCACCCATGTCGTGCAGTGCCACAGAGGTCAGAAGAGGGTTTCAGATTCCCCTGGAACTGGAGTCAAGGACAGTTCATAGCCACCATGTGGGTGCTGGGAATCGAACCCGGATCCTCTGCAAGAGCAGTCAGTGCTCTTAACCACTGAGGCATCTCTCTAGCCTCCTCATTGCCTAATTAAAAAAAAATTATTATTCATTATGTGTGTGTGTGCATGTGCCATGGCACCAAACTTTGTAGAATTGATTCTCTCCTTCCACATTTTAAGTGAGTTCCAGGGAACTCAGGTCTTCAGGCTTGTATAGCTAGCACCTTTACTAGCTGAACCATCTCACCAGCCTTCCCTTCCTTTCAGCAGTACTGGAGATTGAACTAAGGGTCTTGAACAAGTATCTTTGCCTCATTAGCCAGTTTTGATGGCTATATTTCACTGTACTTTTTTGTTTTTGTTTTTGTTTGAGACTGTCTCCCTATGTAACTATGGGACTGACCATGTAGACCAGGCCTCAGACTCACAGATTCACAGAGATCCACCTGATTCTGCCTTTCGAGTGCTAGGATTAAAGCTGTGCACTACTATGCCTGGTTGAACTTTTTTTTTCTTTTTTTGACAGGGTCTCCCTGTAGCCCCAGCTGGCCTGGAACTCTCTCTGTAGACCAGGCTGGCCTCAACCTCAGAGATCCACCTGCCTCTGCCTCCCCAGTGCTGAGAATAAAGGTGTACACTACCACATCCAGCTTGAATTTTTTTTTTTTTTTTTTTTTAAGACAGAGTCTCGCTGGGCATGGCCTTGTCTCCTGGAGCTGGAATTATGGGTGGTTATGCTCCACCCGACATGGGTACTGGGAACTAAACTTAAGTCCTCTGCAAGAGCGGTGTGTGTTCTTACCACTAAGCCATCTCTCCAGTTTCATTCTTTTTGATTAAATGCCATTGTGTATATACCACATTTTAATATATTTATCTTTTGGAGAACATCTAGATTGATTTCATAATTAGCTATTGTAAATAATGCTGCAGTGAACGTGGATGTGCAAGATGATCTTTGATATTCTTGGATTGCTTGAGGAATATATATACCCAGGGATGGTATACTTGGTCATATTGTAGTTCTGTTTTTAGGTTGTTGTTGGTTTTTTCGAGACAGGGTCTCCCTGTAGACCCAGCTGGCCTGGAACTCACTATGTAGACCAGGCTGTCCTTGAACTCAGAGATCTGCCTGCCTCTGCCTCCTGAGTGGTGGGATTAAAGGCGTGCACCACCATGCCCAACTTGGCTTATTTAT